GGATGCTGAATATGGTGAATTTGTTTTAGCTTCAATATGTCAAAGTTTCTGATATTTTCTAAATTTCTAACCCCATGCAATTTCAAAGAGGATAGCTTTGAGGATGGTGACTTTGTTACTTTGTTTCTCATTCTTACTGATCAATGTTACATTTATTGCAGTAAGTAATCCCCAAGCAACTTCTGTATTCCACTCTTTTCAAGAGCTACAACAGCCTACTGTGGAGAAGTTTGATGGTGCAACCTCTGATCCTGATGTTCCTCAGTCATATTCAAGTAAACTAGTTGTTTATGTTCTTTTAGTGGGGTCATCCCATGTGTTGAAGTTGTGCTTTTCAGTAGTTGCAGATTCTTAATGATTAATATTGTTTTCTGAAAAGCGAAAACAGATAGTTTTCAAGGGAAATTGTCAGTTGTTCCTGGTACAAATTTAGCCTCCATTCAAGCAGGTGAGGAGAAATCTAACAGTGATTCTGGATTATCATGTGAGTCCGAGAAGCACCTTGATTTTGCGTTGTGTGAAGATATCCTGGAAAATTGTACTCTTGGTATGGAATCCATACAATACCGGGCATTGGTATCCTTTACAGAACCCAATACCATGGGTCAACTTTTGAGCAACAACTTTCCTAGAAGGCAGGAGTTTAGAGGGCAGCCACAGATGCAAGAAGAGTATCAGGTACTTTTCAATTGTGTTTGCCAAACTTTGGCCAGAAATACCTAATTTAATGAATTTCAATTTTGGTTTCTGGCATAGTCAGTCATTAGAATTCATTGCTACAAGATATTGTTGTCTACCTAGTATATATGGAGAGGTATATGGTATATCATACTAATCTCTTTAACTTCGTTGTTCTGAAATATATTTTGGAGTATGCATATAGATAGCTGGTGATATGGTACCAGGAACTTTTCATTGCTTCTTACTCTCTGCAATCCTTACTGAACAGTCATATACTATTTAGTAATGTGAACTTTGTTCCTTGCTTCCTACCTGGTGTATGTCTTAACTTCCGTTTTCTTGGTCTGGCCATCCAGGGCCTCTGGGCTGTATGTCTTGTAATCATTCAACCCTGGTTCTCTTCTTTCACCATCTTCTTTTTGGCTTTTATGTGTGTGTTCACCCTGATCCACCCCAATACTTGCTTATAGCCTAGTGTTAATAGGGAAATTGAAGTATTGCTTACTTATGTGCCTGTTTTAAAACTATATTTTGCTTCCTTTCTCTTGCATTAGTGCTGTTTTTTGTTTGTTAGTGCCTAAACCACACAGCATGGTGGCAACTAATCAGAAGTTATTTCCATTAAGCCATTGGCTTTATACATTGTGGTTATTAACTTGTTGCAACATGTCAAACTCTTTTAACTTTTTCATTTGGAAATATTAATAGGAGTATGCACGCGGATATGTAGTTAGTTAGTGATATACTCAGGCGGCGGTAAATGTTGGGTCTAACTCTCTGCTATCAGCCTTATCCTATTTGGGTGTCTTATGGGAATTAACTTTGATATATCACGTCATTCTTTTACCTTTTCATTTGATATATCATGTCATTCTTTGATAGGACTATCCCGATATATGGTTAGAGATATACTACCAGGCAGTTAATGTTGGGGCTAACTCTCTACTGTCCTTAGCTTAATAGTCTTACTCCTGGATTCCAACAAAGCATGTCTTTACTCCGTTTTCCTTGGCCTGGCTTAATGTCTTTCAATTCTTCAATCATGTTCTTTTTCTGTCTCCATCATTTATTTTTCTTTACTCTTTTCAGTGTCCTCATTCTGAACCATCCCAGTGCTTGAAGTTGAGTTGTCCTCTAAGAGAATAGTTGTTTTCATAGGGGTGATAAAAGATGTTCCGATTTGTCAAGTGCCTGATTTATGCTATATTTTTCCTCCCACTCTCTCGTCTCGGTTCTTCATTTTTTTTTTTTTCTTTCTGATTCAACCTTATTCTTTCACAACAAAGCCTACCGATGACTTACCTTATATCTAAAACCTTCAATGTCTTCGCTGCAACAATTCACAAAGGCAAGTTATAGTACAGATGTTCAGATATGTTTCTGGATAATGAACTGGATGTTCACATGGTAAAATTGGAACAAATTGATTTTGTAATTGTCTGGCTGAAAAAAAAAAAAAGGGAAACATTTTGTTATCTATACTCTTGTCAATAAGGTGCCTGAACAGTTTCATTATAGAGCCCTTATTTAATATTCTTTTTCTGAATTTATATTAGCAAAGAATGGAAGATTTAAGTCGTGTTAAAAAGACTGAAGGAGAAATTCCTCATTCCCAGGTAACTGAAACGATTATGCCCAATTCTGAGATTGACGGTTCTTCGTCTTCTGGTTCTCATCCAAATAATTGCCTAGAACCTTCAGAAAATACAGATAGGTATCTGGATGGTGCACAGCCATTGGAACGTGAAAATGCTCAACCAGGTGAACTTTTTTTTGGCTTCAATATGTCTAGGTTTGCAGTACATCATAAATTGCTA